TAAAGCCTACTGGCATTAAAAATACCTTTACATAACGGTCTACCAAGTTTAAAAAATGCCAACCAACGATAACTTGACTAATATTTTCTCCTAACGAAAAAAAACCCATTTCGCTACAGAGTTTCCAACGCTATAGATTAGTGCACCAAATGATTTGATGCTTGGTTTTTCGAAAAAAAAAAAAGAAGATACGGATATCCGGCATATTTAGAGTTACATAAAGATTAGACAACCCTGATCATACGATAAGATGTTCTTTTTCTAAAACTACTGAACTGTTTTCAGTGCTTAAGCAAGACCTTTTTATTTATTCCTGTTTAATTTTGAAATGAATTCATGAAAAATCACCTCATCTGACAAAGTTTTCAAATAAACTTTCCACATTTCGATGACAATAATTCCTAACGGTGTAAAAGCACGCAAAACAATTAACATTTTATCAGCAGTCTGAAATTTGAAATTTACATTACCACTTTATATTTGGCAAGCAAAACCCAAAAAATTTCGCAACACCTCTATATTATGCTCATAAATTTGAAATCCATTTCATATCCGATTTATAAATTATATGAATTCACACTAATTGTTAATTCTTGTTTCATTCGTAAGATTCTTGCCTTCTATTCAATTTATTCAAACTATTGCTCATTTGTAAACATTTAAAAATCAACCTGATCAAGGAAATCGGTGCCATCTACTTTGATCATTGCCATTACTTTACAGAGACTTGATGCTAGTATCAGTCGCTCGTCATAGAAGCGATCATCATTGACAGCTTGCCGAAAGTGTAACAAAATTCCCAAATAACTGAAAAATATGAATAACTGAAAAATATGAACTGAAATCTATAGACACCTACATTTTCCTAAAACGATATTATTGACTATTGATGTGCACCATCCAGTTACCAAATGATAGTTAAATTACTCATACATATCATTTCCATTTTCTGTAATCACTTTTTTCCACTGCTCATTCACCCAATGGAAACAGTTTTTTCAGTGGATGAGAACTAAAACGTTGACAACTGGCAAAAATCAACTGTTTCAACAGTAATCATGAAATACTCGTGAGAATAACAACTACTAACGATCTTTTTTTCGCGAAAAAACAAAAACTGTAAAAAGAAACCTTTCTCTAATGAAGGCGGTAAAACTGAACGGACAATTTCGACCGTAGGTTAATTTATGCAAATTCTTAATATGCATTATTGCTTTCTCTTCATGAACGGATAAATGTTGCAGCAAACAAACAGTACATTCATAAGCTTTTTTTGAAACCAGTGTAGACTAAAAGTAAAAAAGAATTAAAATGAAAGTCAATATTTTAGCAAAAATTTCAAGTTAAAAATCAAGATTCTAAAGCGGAACTATTTTAAAAGGAAATAGGAATCCTTTTGCTGTACTCTTTTAGTTAAGATGATTAAGAATAAGTAAATGACAGATCCATCAGTACATACCCAATTGCAACCTCCTTTTGTATAAACGCTAATAAAATTTAGAGCATTCTGCATAACTTGAGTGGATAAATCCTTTAAAAGATGTTTGACTAATAATAACGGCAAAGATTCCTCCATCAATATTTCTGGTTGTATTCGTCGTAGTCGTGCGATAGTATCCAACGCCATTTGCACTTTTTCCTTTTCTGCTATGCAATCCAGCAGAAGGGAAGTAACAACTTCAGGACAACCATCTCGCATGAAACTATAAGAGATAAGAAATGAGAATGAAACGTAATTTTTAAATTTGATACTATATTTTAAAATTTGCGAACAGTCAACAATTTTGCTCCCTTAAGCAAAATTTATGCCAGATATGGATGGCCCGAAAAAATTAGTCTTATTACTTTACATTATTTTTTTCACTTCCAGAAATCTCGTCAGAATATAGTGATAGTTGTTTACCTTTCCATATCATCCCTCGAGAAATCAAATACTTCAACAACAACACTTAAGGCGTATTCGATACTTCTTCCAAATCTTTCATCAACAAACTGCGAAAAACTACCTCAAAAATCATTGAAAATTTTTGTATAATTATTCAAATATAAGTCACCGTAAAACACAAAAGTTAAGCAATACAAGCTAAAATATGAAGCTAACTTAAAAATACAACTAAATTCATCCGTTAATGAAGATGTCAGTACATAATTACATAGGAAAACACTATTACAACTTATTTTTTAGCGACGATACTTTCCAAATAAAATTCATATATCTCACCTCGTTTTAGAGGCCTTGTTCCTTCAGAATATTCGAAGATTATCCGTTTGGTAAGACTTTCCATTATGTATTTCTTTTTCCGAAGAAACCACTGTCGAGGATGCAAATTAGGAGCGTATTTTTCCATACGATCCTGCAATTTAAGTAACTTCTATAATGAAAAACTTCCGAAATTTTGACAAACTTCAAGACCTCGATATTTCGAAAAAGACTGTACATTCAGAAACTAAGTACAAAAAAAATTAAATAAAATTTTAATCAACTAACCTCAACAGCATGCTTGATTTCAGCGACAATAAATGCATAATCAGGTACAACTGCAATATTCAGAAGCTGATTTAAGCACATCAGAAAAAGATTGTCATTTTGCGAATTACTGAAAAATACCCTTTTGAAACATGAAAATCAAGAAAATTATGGGAACACTGGCGCCTAATATCGATAAAAACACCATGAACATTTGTGATGAACCAAATTATACTATTTTCTTTCTTTCACCCAATCCATTTTCTCTTCTCCTTCTTTTCTTTTTCTATTTTGCCACATTTTCAAAGCTTCCGCAACCAAAAAAATTGAAGAGAGTGGAAATAGCATTTTGATATCGAACGTATGCATATACGACGAAAGCATAAAAGAAGTAACAAGAGCACTGCAAACTTTTAACCAGCTGGCTCAGTTAACTTAAAAATTTGCTCAATTACTACTTACACCAAACAGGATATTGCATGTAATCTGAAATTATCGAACGCCTTTGGCAATTTTTGTAGATCACCAATAACTCGCAGTACTTCATTCTGAACACTTTCAAGTTTCAGTTCCATCATCGGTTTTAAGCACCATCTAAACTGTTTTCTATGTTTACTTGTTCCGCTAAAAAATTAGAAAAAATTGAAGATGAAAAAAAATCTACGTTGTATCTGTAAAACTGAAAAATGTATCCTTTTTCTTCAATTTCAAAACAGTTTATAATAACAACTATGTATTTCATCAGGAATGTCCGACCACACAATATAGCATGTTCTGTTTCAACAAAGTAACCTATGACCACCCCCATTCTATTTTTCTTCCCATGCACTCTGAGATAAGCTCTCTGTAACATAGGAACACCATTATTTGGATCTCGCTCAAGGCCTCTAAAATAACCGTTATGATTTGAAAATGTCACATAACCATCGCGAATAATTTTTTAAAAATTTGGAAGTCTTCATGATAATTCTGGATGATTAAAAGTTGAAAACAACGTACTGAAATCCGGATCGTAGATCTTCGTCAGTTTCTTTCATCAAAATCAATGTACAAAGCATTTCTGTTTCATATCTTTTCAATAATGTGAAGGAAATATGATTTAGCAATGAGGCCAACAACTCAGAGCAACCTAATTTTGCCGCATTATTACCATGTATGGCTTTTTTTATAAGTTCAAAAATTTTGTCCAGGTTAATTTCCAAATTTCGATTAGCAGTTTGTTTTCGTCGACACATCATACATATCTCATCATCGGCTAATCGTTTCTCCATACTAACAAAACACAATGTTCTTGCTACCGCCTAAATAAGATACTATAAAAATAATATACTATATTATCAGACATAAATATAGTCGGACAACCCACATAGCTAATTAGATTGCTAAAGTTATATGGTTATTCAAAAAAGTCTTCCTTATCAGTGATGAGCGTTATGTATGATACGTCTAATCGAGATCACAGAATCTCCACAAAACTGCTTTATTTTGAACAGTCACTAGTAAGAATTACAGTTGCTAACAACATAAAAAACCATAAAATCACTTTACTTTTAAAACGGCAGGACACAATTCAGTTTCATCATCATTTTGAAGTGCGTGCATTCCATGATAAAGCACATGATTTAGAAGAAATTCGAATTCATTCCTGTCTGCAACGATCAGAAATGCACAATAAAAAAATCATGAATTCTACCAAAGATGATTTTATTTATCACAGAGACTTTATTATTCTTATTAGTCACTAAAAAAACCAAATAAATGATCATTAACTCGACGAAATAAAAATTCAAAAAATTACTGGATCAATAAAGCAGTGAGATGGCTCAACGTATGGGATCATAGGCCTTTTATATGCAGTTTATAAGCAGTTATAATCATCGTAAGATATCACGCTATTAAATGAGATAAATAATTTCCAACGACCAGTCATTCGCCGATTATAGATGGAAATCTTTCTTTTATTTGAAAATAAAAGAATGTTTCTGAAAGAATAACCTGTTGAGAAAATGAAAGTAGGAAAATGTTCTACAGCTGTTCTCAGTAATGATATTTCGATTGATGTTAAAGCTGCGATGTATACTCTGCGACGCCATTCCGGACAAACATTCAAATGACCCAATGCTGGGATCGTATTCGCTTTGATATCAGGTGCTGAAATTTAAATTCCATTGTAGTTTTTGCATCAGATAACTTAAATTTCAAAAGGCTTAGAAAACTGCAGAATATTTTATTTTATCCCTTCCTTACTGCTCGAAACTATTTCGGACAAGAATGAAAAAATTTACAGAGATATTGACTGCAACGTAACGATAATTTGTAAATTTGTGATAACGCTGGTAACGCTAGATCAAAATGTTTCAGATCAGCAACCAACTCCTGCAAATTACAGATTTCATTTATATGAATATGATTTTTTAATAAGCATTATATAAAGGCTGATTACGACAATTGATATTATAAGATGTCTCCAATGCTATGGCTTATAAGATCAAATATTTATTACAATTTAAAAATCTGCATTTCAGCTTGTATGGAATTTAGCACTAAAACAATGCAATTATCTGTACTAAACAAAACGAAAATACTACCGTTGTTTGGAGCCATGGTAATGACATAACAGCAAGCCAGAAGTCTACTCCCGTTTCGACACGCTCAGTAAACGATGAAATGAGTGAAATTAATGCAGCTAAAGCCTCTCTACCAATATGTGGCATCTTTGAAATATTTTCAATTATCTAAATAAAATTAAGATGAAGAAACCACAAATTTCATCGCAGTAAATAAAGATTAAACCCCTAGTATTAGCAATAAACACCACATAGTATTTTATTTAATTTCTAGAATTGTTACAATAAGATTCATTTGTCGATAAAAGAATCAAAGTGAGTGAACATGATTCTATTCGAACTATTATGTAAGTCTAACTACTATAAACATTGAACGCTACTGTGAATTGCTGAGAATGGTTTTACTTAAATCACCTTTCTTCATCTTTTAACTTTATATTTACAGCTCGTGAAAAATCAATCTCTATGTAAACTGAGCGATGAAAGGCAGTCTTTCCTTCTAAATTTGTAACACACTCATTTTCTACAAATACGAAAAATTTCATTGAACCATAAAAAAACTAAATTCTTACATCACGAAAATAATGCAACAATAAGTTACAACAAAGAAGTAATGATAAATTATGTAGTTCAGTGAATGTCTCTCATAAAAATGAAGCAAGCATTAAAACTCAATTAAAAACTAACCTCTATCACTTCTGCAGTTTCTGGAATAACCTTGGCAATCAAAATATTGCCTTTATCTTTCTCCATTATTTGTTTTAGTGCCACAATCATCATCTCCCTCATTCGCAAATATTTTGTCATCTGAATTTTTTATGTCTCCAAATTAAAAGAAAAAATTACTGAGTTCTTGGAAAAAGTTTGTGTTTGTGATACAAAGTTTGTGACATAAAGATACATTTGCATACCTCACTTTTAATATAACGTTGTCGGGCAAATGCTAATTGTTCACTAAGTTCATTCAGTAACAGCCTGTAAAAAACTTTTGAAAAATGATGAAAAAATGATACTAGAGATTTCTAGTAATATCGAAAACCCAAAAAATACACTGCAGTATTTCAATGATTTGGAAAAAGAACCTCTATGAGCCTTTTAAGCCACTATTACTAATATTTAGTAGCAAAAATATCAAATAATATAAAACCATACTTACGATGAATTGATATCATTATATTCCAGCACCACGAAAATGAACTCGAATAATTCACCGATGTTCTCGGCTTTTATTTGTAATTCACATTGAAAAATTTTCCTCACTATAATGTACAAATAACTGCATAGATCACAATATTCTTCCCGAACGCTCTTTTCAACTCGTAGGTTTACAGAGCATAAATCGATTAACATATTAACCAAACGCTCATCTGCAATTAAAAACTATGAGAAGGGTCGATACGAGACAAACAATAAAGATCCAAAACTGTTTCATACATCTTATACATCATACAATCAATACTTGTAAAGATAATAAACACTTATTTTTG